ATCTATACACAAGATTATAGCGGATATTTTAAAGACATTAAAGACTATATATATCTCAACGGTGAAAAATACAGACCACAAGATATTTCACCTATAAATATTTTTAGCTTTGTTACACTAAAAAATGAAATTCTCGATTTTCTAGGATGGCCCTATTACATCTTAGAAAAATTAACTATCTTATACGCAATGTTTAACTTTATAGGATTTCTTTTTTCACTTTTAAAAGGAATCGATAATACATGTGCTATACACACAAGTAAATAGACAAGCAAGTGTAGCACGCATACTATTTGCAGGATTTTTTGGAATTTTTTCATCATCAATAAACAAAATTCTTCTAGACGCACAAATAAAAGAATATAACACAAAAATAGCGACAAGACCGGACACGTACTACGAAGAACATAATAATATAGAAGTAACGCCTACAGCACCACAGTTGCCACCCCTACCACATAGCCATCCATTATCCTTAGTCCCACGAAATTTCCGAAACCTAGCAATAACACATAATCCAAATTTAGACCAAACATATCGCAAAGTCCCATACAACATATAATGACACATCATTCACAAGATGATAATACATATGAACAAATTATTGAACAACCCCATAACACCGCTTTTCAGTCTCAAAATAATAATTTTTTTAGCCCTCGATGAGCCGACAACATGGATCACTACACCGCTCAAATTCCCATCCAACCAACCTCAACACTCCAATTACAATAATTCCACTTTTTGCTTTCCCGCCACCCGATTTCCCAACTAGTAATATAACATCAAGCATGAATTCAGACACTAATTCAGATTTTTCAGTTTTATACTCCATTTCACAACTCAATAATCCTAATATAGAAACCCCTGATGAATTTGCAGACTCCGAACCATCTCCATCCAATAATTTTCAAACCAACTCCTCAGTTTTTTCAAAACCCCCTTTTCAACCAATCCCACAAAATAACCCACTCCCGTCCGTTTCTACCCCCTCTTATGCTTCACAAGTAACCCCAACCTACTCTTCATTTCATTCAGACCGATCATCCAATTCTCCAGATATTCCCCAAATCTCCCAGAAACTCGATAATTTTATCACCCTACAACAACAACTATTACACCCTAACACCCTCACTATAAATCAGATTTCCTCCACAATAGAATCCTCAAACCCACCTACTCCTACACCCTCTTCAGCTTATACTGCCTCATTAGCACAATCATCCTCATCCACCGAATCATCAAATAGCACTAACCGAGCTTATCGCACTTTTAAAAGAAAATTACCATCCATTACCGACCAAACCAGGAACAACCTGTGAATAAATTAATCATCCACACCACACCAACACGAAAGATTTCCTAGCAATCACCCTACCTTCATTTCCACAAAATACTTTAAACACCCCTCACGATACTAACGACACACGCAGTTTTGTAGATGAACATGTTTTAATGCCTACACTTCATTGGACAACATATTATCGTTTTACTAATCCCCTTTGCCTACCGTTATCTAATACTCATAACGATATAGAAAGGAATAAAAAAATGCTATATCGACTCACCACACCACTAACACATAGACAAGTTACTCATATAGGATATAAAAAATCACTAAAAACATTCACTGCACCCCGAGCTAACGAATTTACACTAGAATATTACGACCATAATATCATCCGAACTAATCTAGACCAATTTTTAGATGACGACCGCTTCGCTAACCCACAACTAACTAAAAAAATCTTCATCAAAACACCATATGTATTCACACTCAATATATTTGATCGTAAATATGATCACATCATTTCTGAAGCACTAACTGACATGCAAGCTTACGAAAATTTACGAAAGACAAATTTCAATTATTTTCACTAACCTTCCACTTCCTTGCACCACATGAACGCGATTTGCACTGCTCACACGACATTATGTTACGCACTAAACAAACCCACACATATACATATTATCGCTTCATACAAAGTCATTTTGATCTACACACTCCATCAAGACAACCACACCACCGTTTTCAGTTTCTCAACTCAAAGTACACTTCGCCATTTTTTCTAAATTTCACATATTGTATCAAAGATACTAACCTCCACGGCATCCTCCGCAATTATGACCCAATAACTCAAATGTATATATTTTGTCCCATCACGAAGACCTTTAATGCTGAAGAATCCAGACCCTTCCTTATCCCACATGAATTTATCCAACCTATAGAAATCCCTATATTACAATTCATCCATAATACTAAATACAATCACCAAATATATAATCTCATTCAAAACACACCTTATGAGTTTGCAGTTGGCACCGAAGAACTAAAAACTATATAAGCACTTCAATTGCTCTGGCCACTGCTTCAAACTAAAAACATCATTCGCATACTAGCAAAATTACTAACAAATTCAGACATGATACACGACATCTTCCCCCACGGTTTTTTCCCCGACGACTAACAGGTAAGTATAATTTATACATATTCTTCACTAATAAATTTAAATTAATACTAACCATTCTTTACTCATGTTTCATTTAGATTTTTAGTCTTCATCCCACGATCATCTGCAAAAAACAGAAAAGAAAAATAAAAAATAAAACTTGTTAAAATTCTTCTAAACTTCATTAATAATTTGCTTTAGATAAATATAATAAAATTCATACCAATGTAGTAAATTAATTTATAAATTGTTTCCCCAAAAGCAGTAAATTTCATAATGATGAAAATTTATAACTTAACTTTCCCCCAAAACTAGCAGTAAAATTAAAATTCTATGTAGTAAATTGATAAAATGAAAATGCAGTACTAACCTTTCGATATTTTCATTCATTCGCACAGGAATACTATCCAAACTCACACAGCTCGCCCACGAAGAATTGTTTAAATAATGAATTTCAGTTTCAAGTTTTCACACTCAACAACTCTAACACACGATAACAAGTTTCAAACTTTCCTTGAACCCGGTTGGAAAGGAATTATATACTAAACCAAACTAACCAACGCAGCTTACTAAACACCACAAATCATAAATTAACAGCATGACTAAGAAAAAAAAACCAACGGTACCCAAACCGGATTAACCCAGTTTAAAACTGGATAATTTATTCTTTTGAAGACTATTATAAAGTCTAAGAAAGAAATCATAAAACACAAAAAAGTCGAAAGACAAACCCATAACAAAAACAATTTGATTTTTGAAAAAAGGACACAACCAAAGGAACATAAGAAAGACCAATATAAACCCAACAAAAAAAGTTATCACATAACAGGACCTCTCAAAGAAACCGCACAAAATCATACTCCCACTCCTGGCCTAACCCACCAGAGAGGACGTCCTGAGCATCCTCTATAGCCGGCCTAACCCACCGCGCTACATCCACGCTTTGTGACCACACTTCTATTTTTAATAAGAGGAACTCAAGGGTGAGTAACTCTTCAAAAAAACCGAACTAAAACAAAATGCTTTTGTGAAAACAACTAACTAAAATCATAATTAAAAAACTGAACTAATAAAAAATTTATAAAATGTAAATCATACCTTGCAGTATATAGATCAGAACATAACAACAAAGACGAACATCCAAAGACAAAATGACCCCACTACACTCGAAAAAGAATGGCCAACCACAACCAATATGCCGTCACAACTCAAAGGATTTAGAGTACGACTTGACTTCGCAGAAAAGGACTTCATTGAACTAGACCAATGACCACCTCGATGTTCAAGTATACGTACAGATCCGAGTTACAAGGCATCCCCTCCACGCACAATCTCCACGCCATTCCCAGACGAGGTCGAACACAAAACAAGTTCTCTACATAATACAGAAAAACCCGTCATAGCAAACCATTCTGAAATCAGATTGATTTCGTTGGGAAACACAGTCGTCGTCACAAGAAGACACAACGATTGATGTCCCTAACTCCAGCGTCCTGGAACTTCTCTAGTAGGAGAAACCGGACAAGAATACGATGTTCGCCAAATACCAACGTTCATCATCCATCCTTTGATTCGCAGAAAGATAATTCTAAAAAACTCTGTAAAACCCGGATGGGTGGAACCTGATCTAAACTATATTTTATGATTGGATAAATTAGATATTTTACTACTGTAAAGTATTTAATATTAACCAATCATGATCCATCTAACTAACAACCCACTTATTTGTAAGTGCTGAAATTACTTGTAATTTCAGCACCAGAGAGATTTGAATTTAACTTAGAAATTAGTTGCCTCTCCAAGAGAACTTCAGCAGCCGCAACAAACCAGTATACCCTAGATCTATTGAGCCTGGCAGAGACTAGTTAAACACCCTGAGACTAGTAATTATAAATGTAAGATTAGGATCGGTATTAGACTAAGAAGTTGCACGAATCTATCCGGCCGAAAATAAGATAGCGTGACGAGCAGACGGTGTACCCTATCCGAAATTACTCTATGAGTTAACCACACAGGAAATAACTCAACAAGCTATTGTAAGCCTTCGCGTGCTCTATTTGCTCGAAATAAGACAAAAAAATCAAACCGGTTTTTCTCGTCACTGGGAACTTTTTCTTCAAACGAGTAACGACTTTGGAATGATATATCACTCAACTCTCTCCGATGATTCTTTGTGGTAGCTTTGTGTGAAAGCAAAAAAAAAGTGGGAAGCAAAAAAAAACTACACCCGAATACAAAGTGTCGAACGGTCGGACGAAAAAAAAATTGTATAAGATGTCCTGTAAAGTAACCTTCCAGTCTTCTTATTTTGAGTCTGATTAAAGCAAACTATTCACACCAGAATTTATCACACCTTTGACAATTTTCTGGAACATTTGGTAATCAAATCAGGACCGATAATATTTTCGTAAAACAGCACACGAGTTTTTTTTTTCGGTACCTAAAATCGGCCAAAAATTCTACACCATAATCCGTTCCAGTCACTTCGTTGCGCGCTTAGAAAAAAAACGACTGATAACAACTGAAGTAATAAAATGTTGAATTTCTCACCTGTTATATAAAGTGTGGTTAACCAGAGACAGCATAGCATTCCCATCCACAGCCCCGAAGAACTTAGATACCTAAATATCAAGAGAATAGCCAGCAAAAACATAGTTGGACTCAAGTCTCAAATAATTCGAAGAGGCCAAAAAAAATTGAGCTTCTGAGTTTAGATTAGAGACAAGATTAACTTTGAATAATTAAAAACCTTTTGATTTTTCAGAACAGCTTAATATGGACAAAATTTACTAACCCAATTACAGAAAAACTGGCCAAAAGGTAACTTTTTGATATCGCTAAAAATCTTAGCAAACAAAATCCTTTTTCGAAATTAATGTCAACCACGTTTTTTTTTCAAGTCAATTAGACTATGCAAATAGAGAGCAAAATAAGCCTACCATTTAGCAAACGAACTTTAAATGAGTTCAAAAAGAAAACAAAATTCGTATTGCCAAAACAGAAATTGGAGCGTGATTACTTTTTAAAAATTTTCATGAACACACAAACCGTAATTGGGTGAATGGCTTCAAGGTGAAGTAATTGGGTAAATGGAAAATACTCGAAAGCAATTCTTACGTGCGCTTTGTTTTCACTCATTACCACAAAACCATGGTGGTCCAGCAGATAGCAGTCTATGAGCTAAAACACAACAGAAAAGTAAATTAAATTTGGATTATTTTTTCCAACTTTCGAAAAAAGTGACAAAATGTTTATCCTTGGGGTGACTTGATTATTCAATGGTCTACTATTGACTTGTTAACTAAGCGTTTCTGGTAGAAATTTTTATTACCGCTAATTTGGCTAATTTGGAATAGTTAACACCCGATGTATTGCATTCTATTAACACCCTTAAGTGGCAAAAAAAATCGCTCCAAATTGAATTGAGCGAGGTCATTTGTGCTTATTTGTCTAATTTTGAAGAAGGAATATTTATGTTTGGAGTGTTTTTCTATTGAATTGAATTTAAAATTTTTAACAAAGCAATATTTATGTTTGGAGTGTTTTTCTATTCAGTTGAATTTAAAATTTTTAACAAAACAATTTCGACTGAATTTTTTAAACCATTTGAAAAATTTTGCTTTACAGCGCTCAAAAAAAGTTCACAAGTGAGGATTTTAGGTTGAGATATGGGGGTGGGGGCTTGAAAATACGAGCTATAAATTGATATAAAAACGTGCTATAAATAGCGTTCTTATAAGACGCATAAACTGCAGGGGGTTAAGTTTTCCAAATTCAATTCACATAGCGTGTTTGGGTAAAAATTACTTATAAAAAAATTTGGAAAAAAAACGTTTTTTGTTTGATAGTGTTTACTCAATTTTTCAGCCAAAAATTTGTTCATTGACGTTAAATTGCAATCAGAACATTGAGGATTTTCCGTTGATTTACGAGCAGTTTTTTATCAGGATAAGAGACGCTAATTGAATCCCCTTAAACTTTTGCATAGCATTTTAGTGGATAAATTTAAAAAAACCAAATATTTTTCAAATTGGCCTCAAAGTACAGTTAGAACATTCAGTGCTTCACCCTGATAAATGAGCGGTCTTGTTGGTCATATTACTGATGCTTTCGTCTATGTTGTGACGAGCTTGAATAATTTTGACGGCGTGTTTCTAAACGTAAAGTTCTATGCTAACATATGCTGAAAGTTCTTCTCATCTTCTCATAGTGAATTCATAAGTATCGTATTTTTAAATTTAGTTCAGTTTTAAAAACTAGTTTTTTAACTATCTCCATTTACGAGCAAAAACAACATGGTGTGAAAAACGAGCTCTTCGGCGCTTATATACTTTAACTGTTGTTGATACCTTTTCTTAAAAGAATTTGCATGCATAAGTTTTCAGTCATTTTATACCAACTGACAAATGTTCTCTCCCTAAATCAGATTTCTTTCGGATTTCATTCGACTCCTACCCCTTCCTCGCGCCCATTCTAACAAAAAATTATCAAGAAAGGGAAAGCACTTCGCCGTGTTTTCCTTAGTGAAACTTTTCCGATGAAACCCAAGCCTTTCAAATGGGTAAAGGAACGCAGTACATTGACCAACTAATGAGAACTTCTGAAATGAGAAACTGACACTAACCACGTTTTGTATACCATCTCTATTTGTTGAAACGCAACTCAAATGTTTGCACAACTTAATGTCAAAATCTCACATTTTCACTATAAAATTACAAACCGCCAACAATCCAAATCAAGCTTTCGCTTCCTTCAGAAAACATTTGATGTCATGAACTGTTTAGTTTGAAATTCGACTCTCAGACCAATAGCAAAAATTATTATTTTTTGAGCTTTTTTCGCAAAATTGCTGGGAAAATGAAGAACGAGGACGACGCAGCTAACGAGCAATATCTTCTGGATTCAATTTTACACGAGAAATCCGAACTACCTCTTCTTGCTTTAATCAATCGATTCGGAGGCCGAGACGACGAGACTGAAAAGTTCTGCGCCAGTTTGGACGATGTAAAGAAAGAACTGGAACAGAAGCTTCATTTCATTTTGGACTCCAGAGCAAGCCAGAGTTTGGAAGCATTTCTTCATATTAATGCTGTTCAAGAACAGGTTATTTCAGTTGCCAGGTTTTTTTTGTGCTTTCCAGGAACTCGAGCTTTTTCGATAAATTTTATCAGAAAAAGTTAATTTGACTTTTTTCTTTTTTTGTTAGAAGTTAGTTTTCTTCGACAACGCCAATTTTTTCAATATTTTAATCCAAAATTTCTAATTCTTTGCCATGAAATCGCTCAAAGCTGGAAGGTTTTCGTTTGTATAAAAAGCTTTATTAGTCAAGAGGACGGTGTTTTGAGGTCTACCAAAATCGTGCTTGGAGTCCAAGGTTGAGGCAACAACTCTCAGCCCTTATGTCTGCATGGCATTTAATTTTGAACCAGGGACAACAGCGGTTCTTCGGAAAGAAATGAACAGCTCTTAATTTGGTCCCTTCCTTGCATAAATGATCTGAAGCTAACGCGAGTTGCATTTTTTACGACGTGGTCCGTCTCATTTTTTTCTCGTTCAGATAGCAGATCTTCGTGAGAATGAGCAGTACTTCCAGCAGAGTGTGGCAGACACCCAAGAGAGTCTGGCTCAGTCTCTGGCCCAGTACAAAAAGGTCACCACTGCTCGGAACAACCTGCACAGATGCATGGGGGAGGTCAAAATATGTCTGGACATGGCAGAGGCATTACAGAAGATTGAGGTATAAGCAGAGGCGTGTATAAGGATTTTTTTTGGGGGGGGGGGGGGCGGGTTCACGTTTCACATTCTCAGGACTTGGTTTCGTTCACATCCCAATGGGTGGGGTACTATTCAGTACTATTCTACGACATCTAATTAAGGCCGACTCAGTCTAGAACTTCTCTTAAGGCATAGCAATATGGGGTTTCGAATCAATATTGTAGTTTTTTTTGGGTTAGAAATTTTGAACGAAAAAATAATTCGAGGTTTGTCGCATTGAAGAATCGATTTTTAAATACCGTCCAGGAAATGCACCCGCCGCCAGCCTATTCATAATAGAGGACTATGATTTAATAAGCATCGATACTGAGAAGTAAAGTTCCATAAAGCCATTAAATGCTCCCAAATAAACCTTTTCTTGCAAGCAAATCCCGTTGATGCGCGCAAATCCTCTTCTTCCGAATTCCGTTGATGATCGTTGATTGGGCGACCACCGAAAAAAGTTTCTAGTTACAGTGAAACAGTTTTTGACGAACACTTTAACGTGGTTCAATCATCTCTATCATTGTTTTAGTCATTGACAGAGGAAAAAGACTTCTACACAGCTGCTCTCACCATCGACCGGCTCAAATCTAAAATTGCATCAGCCGACTCCAGCTACCAGTTCATACCCCGAATGGCACACGCACTGGAACTACAGTCGGCTCGTGTGTTTGACGACTCACTTGAAACCCTCGGGAGTTTCCTCAAGGTCGTGAGCGGATAAATGCGAGTCGTAATCACTAATAAATGAAATGAAAGATCACGAAAAGCGAAAAATTGCGTCTAAATTGTGTATTTTCACATGAAATTTCAGCAAAAATTTAGATATCAATCGATTTCAATGTTTATCGATAACGATATCTATCGCGGAAATAGATTTTTGATTGACAAAATTACACTATGAAAATCTAAGTGTATATCTATTCACCAGCGGATTTAGGGTGGGGGGGGGGGGGGTGTTTGATGGGATGGACTCTCAAAGATTCGGCCACCTGACGACACAAAGGGTCCCTTTTTGTACTATTTTAAGATCTCCATTTGTGCCTGCGGTACAGAAAATTTGATCAAAATAGGGTCTTTCTAGTGATTTGTGAGTGCTCGGAAAACCAATTTGGTCGACCTAACAAACAAAAAACGATCGATAAAATATCGATTTTTTTTTAAATCCGACCCCCCCTCCCCTCGAGAAAATTCTAGAACCGCCCCTGCCAAAAATGAAAATCGGTGAACCTTTATTCTATCTATCTTTGCTTTAAGGTTATGAGTGAAAACTTTGTTCGCGTGGGAAAAGACGCTGTGGAAAATAGATGGGCTTGCGATCCAGATCAATTCGTGGACTTCAGCAAGCTGGCCAACTGTTTCTTCATTGCACAACTTTTCAAAAGCAAGTAAATTTTGTTGCTATTTTTCTTCAGAAAACCATATTTTACAACAATAATGGCCAAAGTCCACAAAATTGATTTCAAAGAAAACTTTATTTTCATGGAAAAAAAATGTTTGCGAAAAAAAGCTAAATGAGTCCAGTCCGCACAAAATTAAATTTACGAAGAAAAGATTTCATAGTTTTTTGCCCGTGGAAGGAAAAGAACACAATTTTGAACGGGTGATTACCTGATAATTGGTTTTCAAAAACATATTTATCGGTTTCCATATTTGTTTGATTAACCGTTCAAAAATTTTTAGATGAAGCTGACTTCATTTTTCATTTCCAACAACAAACCGTCTCCCTCCTTGAGCATATTTGCTCCATTCGAAAACACAATACTCTGCAGGGATTCCCTGACTTCATCTTCTCTCTGATTGGCTACTTTGTTTCTCTAATCAGAACAACTCAAATATTACCCGAATTGGCAGAGAATGTTCCAAATTTAGCAAACCAAGCAGCTTTACAAGTTCATGAAAAAGTAGAAAAAATACTCGATAAGGCCGAAAATGATTTCATGTCAGAGCCGAAATCAGAAAGTCTACTTTTAGCAGTCTGCGAGTTGATAAATTTGTTCCAATATTACGGTATTCAGAATTCGGCCTTGGATGCTTGTTTGAACAAACTATTCGGAGATTTTTGTCGAGATTATGTCAATATTCAGGTCGAAAAGATAATTGAAGGCCGGAACAAAAACCGAACAGAGATCAGTGATCAAACTGAACCTAGTGTAAAGGTAAACTTGCGGGAAGTTTTTGATAAGCTTGAAAAACCTCGCTTCAGCTCGAATTCTTTGAACTCTGGAAGTTTAGAAAAAGTTTGGAATGATCACCGCGAAAGATTTTTTGACCTATTTATGGAAAATTACCTAAGAAACGCACTGGACGTCGTTATCCCAAGAGAAGATGAAAACAACATTAGAAAACTCATTACGATGCTGTCGAAATATAAAAGTAAGTTTTTCAACTTTTTCAATTCTTTTCACGACGTATACTTTTGTTTCAGCCACTTCACGACTTGGAAAAAGTTATGGTGCTGAGTGTTTTTTTGTTTCCTGCCGTTTTTAGATACCTCTGGCAAAGCTCGTATGGGGTGAAGTGTGGTGTCATATCAAGCTTCTTTTAATCTTGATTCGAATTCAAAAAAACTCTGTTGTGAAATTTAGGCTAGGCAGACCAATTTAGAGCAACATTCCCGGGTTGACCTCCATAAACCGAAAATGCTTTTCTTACATTTACCCACACCAAAAATGCTTATCATACAATTGCCTACATCAAATGTAAGACAAAATGCTAATCATACAATTTTCATACAATTTTTTAAAAAACTCAATTTTAAAATTGAAAATGCCGCAGAAATTTTTTCGTTTTTTTTTCAACCTCAAATCGAGTTTTGTACTCAAACAAGCATTTTCCAAAAAAAAAATTTTGCATGCATATTTTAACTTTTTGTATGCGTAACGTAGTCCACGATGCACAAAAATTGGAGTTTTTTCCGTTTCTCTGGATAACTTTTTTTAAACAGGCTAAAAACTCCTGTTTTTTTGTATGGCATGTTTATATATGCCTTGATCAATGTCTGATAAGATGAAAATTCAATTTCAAAAAAAAAAAATTTTGAAAAATTTTGCCAAAATTCAAAAGTTTGATGCTTTCACTATATGATTCGTGAAGTAATAACGTTCACAATTCAGATCGTTTCCAATGCATTGTCAATGACAGACGATCAACCTTTTGGGAACACTACTGTTGAGTACACCATGGGTTTAGTCACTTGTGTTCGGTCACGAACACATCCCAAATATTTTGAGAAATAAAATTCAGAAAAAAATCAATTTTTTGGTTTATGAAAAAATGCTTATCCTACACTTTTCATTTATGAAAAATGCTTATTCTAGAGTTTTTTCTACAACTTTCTGAGTCTATGAAACTGTAGGAAATTGTAGGATAAGCATTTTTTCATATATGGAAATTTTAAGATAAGCATTTTTGGTCAACCCGGGTTGGTCTCAAAATTGGGCTTAAGACTAATTTCGATTATCAGCGCAGTTGGGCCTAAGACTAATTTGATTTGTTAGTAATTTATCCAAGTTAACTAGGGGAGCGGTTTTGAATTGAGTGGTTAGGTCTACGCCACTCAACTGATAGGTAGGATGTTTAAGGCCCATCAAGATCCGTTGTTTAGGGTAAGGCCAAAATACTCAGCCCAGAAAAATAACCAAAAATTAGTATTTAGTTCTTAAGCAGGAGCACAACAGCATTTCTCCATAATGAGCTGAACAGCTTGTATGCTGGTCCTTCCCATAGTGGATAAATTGTCTTAAATAAAAATAGTTCCTAGAATTATAAGTAGCGCCCCAAGTTAATTCTAACTTTCAGCCCCATTTAGTTTTATTGTTCCGACTTTAGTAGGAGTTGACGGAATAATTATGCTTGGGGTTGCTTTTTTCCGATTTTTGAAAAAGTGAGGGAACACTTTTTCATAGTGGTTTTTTCTCCCGACCAATTTTAACTTTTTAACTAGCCATTTTATCGTTTGAAAACTGAAAATGTCTTGAGCTCCAAGAAGATTTTGAAAATATATTACCTGGGATCATTTTTTTTGAAAGATTGCCAATGGCCAATTTGGCCGATTGGGACAATTAACGCGCAATATGCTTCGTTCTATTAACACGTGACCGGCTATTTAATCCATTTCAAAAATTGTTTCAAATTGAATTGAGGTATGTCAGTTGGTATAAATAATACGTTATTATATGCGAATCATATCATTGTTTACTTTAATGAATTTTTTAAATCGATTCTCTTTTAGTTTTTTTTAAATTACATTATTGTTTTGAAATGAACAGTGCTCCATAGACGTTAAATTGCAGTCGGAACATTCAAAGCGTCGCCGTGTTACAAGCTGTCAAGTCTAAATTTTGAAATTGATAAAACATTGACTCTTCTCGCAGAATCTGTGTTGTCTTTCTGAAAAATTTTTGTTTTACAGACTCTGGCAATGAAAAAGAGCTGACGATCTTTGAATCTTTGGCACTAAAGAAGATTGAAAACATGATCAGGTTGCCGGTACAGAGAATAGCAGCGTCTTTGAGTTTTGAAGAGGGAGCGAATATGCAAGTTAACGAAATGCTGCAATCAAACGACGGGAACCTTTTGGCGAAATTAAATCATTGGATTATGGAGCAAATTGAGCAATTAAAGCAGTATCCAAAAGGTGAGCTTAATCAGTACCTGCTAGGTAAAGGTGTAGTAAAACTGTCCCAAGGCAGTTTTGTCAGTGGACTCCAATATAAGAGTCGAAAAAGGCTTTGTCGCGGGTTCCAAAATAGAGCTTTCTATTGTTTTTTAACCACACTATTCAATTTTACCACACATTTGCATTGCCATGGTTACTTGAATTCATGATGGAATACTCATTTCATTTCAATTCCTGCAATTTTAACTGCGCTCGATACAAGGTCCTGTATTTTTTGTTATAGCTCTCCTAAAATATTAAATGACAAAATTTACAAAATGTAGCACAACTATCATTTTGTTGTCAATCGAATAGGGTAACTTTGGATTACAAATTACTTTTGTTTCAGGCTTGCAAGTAGCTATCGACTTTTATGCAACTGAAATGAACAGTTTGATGAGAACTCTAACCAAAAACCCGACTATGAATTTTGCAGCTCTCGTTACATTCTTAGATACGTGTGACCAAATCATGAAAATTGGCAGTGAACACAAAAATCAAACTGAACAAATTCGAGAAATTGCAACACTTCGAAAATTCATCGACTTGATTCTGAACGCTGAAGATGCTTCGCAAACTTTGGAGATTTATGGAAAACTGTTTCCTGAAAATCAGAATAAATCAAAGTTGAAGTTACTAGGAATGTTGAAGACAATTAGAAACAACACTCAAATGGATAAACTATACACAAAAACTGCTAGAGGGAAACAACAACTCAAAACAAGCGCCAACCTTGTCAAAAAGTTGGAAAAATTAAAATAGATTGACAAATTTTTAAAAACTGTCGGCTCATCAATCAAAGTTTATTGGACCATAAGGTTTTCTTTTTATAAGGTTTTCTTTTTAAAGTTAACAGAAATCAATTTGAGTTCATTGGGTTATTTTCTGAACTTATTAAAATGTCAGGCAATGTGATCGAGCGAGAAGTTTAGTCTATTATCGAGATCAAAAAGTACATCTACCTCCGATTTCAGATTTTAAAAAAGCCAGTGGTTTGAGACCCCCCTCTCTGATCTGTCCCACAGTTTGAGTGCAAAGTAATAAGTAACAAGACTTCCCATATAGCAAGGCAAAACCCTGAATGTTCCCACTGCTCTTAAATAAGTCTTCAATAAATTCTGATAAAGAAAATGTTGACGAAATGTTAAACTTGGAACTGCCAATATCAAAACAAATGATTATTGGAGTTTGAGTTCTAAAAGGAATCAAAATGAAAATATAGTTGTCAAACCAACACATTTTTCGTAAGGGAATCGTAGGGGAATTGCCTTCTGAAAATTGAGCTCAGAGGGTCAATACTTCTCAGCTGAATTTTAAAATTTTGGTCGAAGCTGGCTAGTTAAAAATTCAAATTTGGTCTGAAGACAAAACTCCTCCGACCGCAAATACTCGGTCATTTTCTTCAAAAGTCGGAATGAAATGTAACGATGATTCGTGCGCTTTTTGTTCGTAACTTCTGAGAAAATAACAGAGCGTTTCTTAGAATGCTATGTAACATTCGCCCAAATACTACACAGTGACGGAGCGTAGAAAACAGTACCTATTAACGACTGGCCGGCGTCAGTTACCTAAATTCTACTAGTTTTTCACCGTCTTGACCTAGCCAGTTGATTTTCTGGTCTGTCTAGGTCTAAGTAAAAAGTTACTATTTTCAGGCCATCAGTCAAACGACTTTTAATCAGCTTTCGTTTACATGCGAACACCACCACATAGCTGGGTCTCGGATCCTCAGACTACGTGATTGCTTTTGAAAACACGGCTCGAATATCCTATTTTTTAATGTTTTTGGTGACAGTTCTATATTAAATCCATTGGAGATGGATTGACCCTTCCAGGAAGATCAAATTTTCCCGAAAGACCAACGGAAACAGAGTTAGCAGCGAATAAACATGTCCTGCCCGTGATACAACATCTGAAGGGTAAAATACCAGACCGAGAACTAGATTCGCTCAAGGCGGTGTTAAATCGGAATGCACACGTTTTTTCAAAGCACAAGGCCGACATAGGTTGCTGCAATTTTGTAGAACACAAGATTGAGATAGAAGAGGGCTCGGTATAATGACCCCTCATAAGTCAGAAGCGTGCAGGAAAGAAATCGAGATGTTAATGGAGTACGACATGATCGAGCCGTCGAAGTCCCCGTGGGCTTGTGGCGTGGTCATGGCTGAAAACAAAGGGGGCAACTCAGGTTTTGTTGTGATTTCCGTTACTTGAACGCAGTGACAAGAAAGGACGCATACCCAATTCCCCGCATCGATGAGAGCCTCTCCAAGTTGGGGGACGCAAAGTTCTTCACGACACTGGATTTGGGCTCTGCGTTCTGGCAAGTGCGACTCAGAAAGCAAGATCGTCAGAAAACAGGCTTCGCGTGCGAGCTGGGATTGTTCCAGTGGAAGAGGATGCCATTCAGATTGTGCAATGCGACCGCCACAGTCCAGCGACTGATGGCCCAGGCACTCACGAGTGTGACAAAGAAATACGGGAACCTCATCATGTGTTATGTCGATGATGTCGTAATAGCAACACCAACCCTGGAGGATCATATAGAGAGGTTGGATGAGGTGTTTACTTGCATGAAACATGCGGGCCTGAAGTGCAAACCCTCCAAGTGTGAAATCCTTAGAGACTCAATAAAGTATCTGGGCCGCCTTGTGGATAAGCATGGTGTGAGACCGGATCCCGAAGCAGTCGAGGCGGTCTTGACCTGGAAGGCACCTAAGACAGATACACAACTGATGAGCTTTTTGGGGTTTGCTAATTTTTATCGAGAGTTCATCAAGAGATACGCCGATAAGATATACCCCATGCAGCAGTTGATGAGAAATAAGGGCAAAAAATTCATTTGGACTGATGATGCACAAGTTTCATTTGAAAAAATTAAACGTGAACTTTGCGAGGAACCGGTCCTCGGCATGCCAACAGAGAAGGGGATGTTTGTGTTAGACACGGATGCATCAGTGGTTGCGATATCAGGCATACTTCACCAGGAGCAAGAGTGGAACGGGAGAACGGTTCTCCGTCCGATAGCCTATGGAAGTAAGGTCCTGAGCGATACTGAGATGAAGTACGGCGCACCAAAAGCGGAATTATTCGCGGTGATCACTTTTGTGGAAAAATACAGGGCCTACTTGGGGAGTGCTCCCTTCAAGTTGCGAGTGGATAATCGTGCACTTGCCTGGCTGAAAACCTATTCGATGGACCAAAGTTATATTGGTCGTTGGATCGTGCGCCTGGATGGATACCACATGATCATAGAGCACCGTACCCGTGACAAGCACCAGAATGCTGATAGCCTCAGTAAAAAGACAGATTTCTATGAGCGCCTAGAAGAGAAGCAGGCCAATCAGGCACAAATCAAAGACGAATTTTCATTTCTAGATAAAGAGACCTACGATAAACTACCACTCACCAGGTGGCTGGACAAGTCAGGGCACCCCATACCAGGACACCCTGAACTTCTGGTGAAGATGGCCGCTGAAATAAAGGTATTAGCCAGGGGTGATCCTGTCCCGCTGGATCTGCTAGTCCGATCCAATCTGGTGCAGCAAGAGCTCACCAGGCTGGGTATAAACAGCATAGTCCTGCTAAATAGGACAGTGAACAAGGCGCCGGACGTCATGGGGAAGCTCCATGACTTGCTGGATAGAGAAGTGGACAGGCATGATCGTGAGTGGTTGGAAACCATCCAACGGTTGACCGTCACTGAGAGAACGGAGAAGAGGCAAGTGACCATTCGCAGTCGCGATGTTGAACGGGATTGCCGGTCGATAGTGAACCAGCTGGTGAACTCAATGCCAAAGCATGTCTTGTTGAGGACTTCGTTCACAGAACGTGGGATATCGACCCAGGTCCAAGCCACTGAGGAAGTCAGGGTCAAGTCGAAATCCAGCTTCACGAGAAAAGTACAATTTACGGATGCAAGGGAAGAGTACGAACCGAGCTTGGATTGTTCATCCGGGGAGGAGACAATGTCCGGGGAGTCAGGCACTTTCGAGCCCGTACAGGACGAGCCCGTACCACAAATATTCCGCCGTTAATTTCGTATCGAAAGTCGGAACAAAAACCAAATATTTTTAAAATTGACCTCAAAGTACAGTCAGAACATTCAGTGCTTCGCCCTGATAAATGAGCGGTCTTGTTGGTCATATTACTGATGCTTTCGTCTATGTTGAGACGAGCTTGAATGTTTTTGACGGCGTGTTTCTAAGCGTGTAGTTCTATTCTAACATATGCTGAAAGTTCTTCTCATAGTGAATTCATAACTATCGCATTTTTAAATTTAGTTCAGCTTTAAAAACTAGTTTTTTAACTATCTCCATTTACGAGAAAAAACAACATGGTGTGGAAAACGAGCTCTTCGGCGCCTATTTACTCTAACTGTTGTTGATACCATTTCTTAAAAGAATTTGCATGAATAAGTTTTCAGTCATTTTATAGCAACATCAAAACCACTCCATACAAGTCGGAACAATGACAAACTTACAAAATATAGCACAACTATCATTTTGTAGTCAATCGAATAGGGTGATTGTTCCAACTTTCGATACGAAAGTAACGGAATATTTATGATCAGGGCGGGTTTTCGAAAGCTATTGTTGTCCTGAGCTCAGATTTGAAAAGTTATTCAATTGTGATCATTTTTCGTAAAGTTACGGGGGTTTAAAGATTGCCATTTCGGCCAATTTGGGACAATTAACGCGCGATATATTTTGCGCTATTAACGCGTAAGCGGAGAGTTAATCGGTCTTAGAACTTGATCCAAATTGTGTGAAAGAAGCATATTTGCCATAAGTGATTTGTTACAAGAAGCGAAATCCATCCTTTTCTTTTTATATGGCGTGTGGGGGGATAATTTTTATTAAAAGCTTTAACATTTTAGAAAAATTTTTCAACTTGTTTTATTTCATTTAATTTCTTAATACTATACTGCTCCATAAACCTCAAAAGGCAGTCGGAACATTCAGGGCTTTGTCTTGATACGAGCAATCTTGTTTTGGATTTCATATTACTTTTGTTTCATGGTTGGCAAGTAGCTATTGACTTTTATGCAACTGAAATGAACAGTTTGATGAGAACTTTGATCAAAAACCCGACAATGAATTTTGCAGCTCTCGATGCAGTCGTAGATACATGTGATCAAATCAAGAAAATTGTCAGTGAACACAAAAATCAAACTGAACAAATTCGAGAAATCGGAACACTTCGAAAATTCATCGACTTGATTCTGAACGCTGAAGATTCTTACGCTGAAAATCAGAGTAAATCAAAGTTGAAGTTACTAGGAATGTTGAAAACAATTAGAAACATCATTAAAATGGATAAACTATACACAAAAACTGCTAGAGGGAAACAACAACTCAAATCAAGTGCCAACTTGTCAAAAAGTTGGAAAAATTAAAATAGATTGACAAATTTTTTAAAACTGTCGGCTCATCAATCAAAGTTAATTGGACAAAAAGGTTTTATTTTTGTCTTGAAAAAAGTAACAGAAATCAATTGCAGTTCATTGAGTAAATCAATTGCAGTTCTAGTTTCAGCACCAGAACAAATTGAATAAAACTTTGAATACAGTTGTTCTCCTTCTGGATAAACTCCAAGAACTAACTCGCATAAACCAGTATACACTAGATCTATTGAGACTAGGAGATATAAGATTAAAATTAAGATCGGTATTAGACTAAGAAGTTGCACAAATATATCGGGCAGAAAGAAAGATAGCGTGACGAGCAGACGGTGTACCTTATCTGAAATTACTCTATGAGTATAACCAATAGGTCATAACTCAAATTTTCTGAACTTATTCCATTGAAAGGCAATGTGATCGAGCGAGAAGTCTATTACAGAGATAGAAAAAGGACATCTACTTCAGATTTCAGATACAAAATGACAGTGGTCTGAGACTACCCCTCCCATCTGATCCGTCCCATGGTTTTAGGGCGAAGTAAGAAGTAACAAGACTTCTCGTATCTCAGGGCAAAAACCTGAATGTTCCGACTGCTATTAAATAGGTATTCAACAGTTTTTGATAAAGAAAGTTTTGATGAAATCTTAAACTTGGAACTGCCAATATCAAAACAAATGATTATTGGAGTTTGAGTTGTATAAGGAATCAAAATGAATATAAAGTTGTCAAACCCACATAGTTTTGCAAAAAGTAATCGTAGGGGAATTTCCTTATTGTTCCGACTTTCGATACGAATGTAACGGAATATTTGTGCTCGGCGTGGGTTTTTTTTTCTTAAGACAAATTTCGATTTTTCAAGTAGCCAATTTTGACGAATTTTTTTTTTTTATCATTCGAAAGCCATTGTTATCCTGAACTTAAATTCGAAAAGATATTTCACCTGTGATCATTTTTCGTAAAGTTATGAGGGTTTAAAGATTGTCATTTTGACCAATTTGGGACAATTAAAGCGCAATATAATTCGCGCTATTAACGCGTAAGCGGAGATTTCTTCCGTCTAATAAATAGTTCCAAATTGGTTGAACGAAGCTTATTTGCCATAATTCATTTGTTACAAGGAACGAAATCTCTCTTTTTGTACTCTTTTTGTACTGGCCTAAATGCAATTTGAATCGATTTATTTTGCCGTTTACTCTTTTTTAGATCAAAATATATCGCACGTACGTTATTGATTGAATTTAATTGTGGTGGTTACAGTAGCCTCGAATGCAATCCTCCGTACCCTACGAAAAAATGATCGCATGTAAAATTAGTTTTTTATTTCAACTGTTAGACATCAATACTTCTCAAGATCGTTTAGAAAATTATGCTGAAAAGGTTGGTTAAAAAGCCGAAAATTGCATGGAAAGGAAACCACCCGAGCCCAAATAAACCATCACTTTTTTCGAAAGTAGAAACATTTAATCATAAGGAATGAACCCAAGCTGTACATTTTGTTGCTGAAGCTTTCGTCGAGAATTCGCTATGCCGAAGAAAAGGAGATTTTGTAACCAAGCGAGACTGCTCGTATCAGGGTGAAGCCCGAATGTTCCTTAGGGCGTTTGAACTAAACTACGTTTAAAATTCAGATAAAAAATTGGAAAAAGTAATGTTAGAAAGTTATTTGAAAGAAATTACTCGTCACCTTATTAAGATGAGTCACCTTATATTTTTTATCTCTATCAAAACACTATTTGGACCGATTACCGACTAGCTTGCGTCAATTCAATTTTTGTGAGCAGCATAACAAAAAAGCTGAAAAAAAAAGCTGACAGCGGCAAATCAAACTGTCAAAAAGGTCATTTTTCAGAAAAGAAAAAAAAGTTTTTGGTTTCATTTTCACTTTTTTGTATCAGAAAACCTTTTTATTGTGATGGAAAATCGTCTCAGACAAAGCTAACTTGAAGCAACCGCATCAGAAATATTGAAAAAGTTTTATTATTTCTAATTAAGTGTTTTAGTTAGCCAGTTGCTTTGCGTTTTTCTCTAGTCCCCCCCCCCCCATTCTTTAAAAGTCGGGAAAAAAACAGATACAGTTCTTCATGAAAAGCCAGTAGCAGTTAATCGCAGAAGAGCAGATTAAAAACTATTGTTGCTTAATTTCCTTGATGATAATACATTGTCTAAGACATTAATGTATCTCGGATGACATGAGAAACACTCACTGTTGAGTTGGTGCATGACTCTATTTTTGTGAAGACGTTGTTCTCGTCATTCGTGAGGTCGTGTCTGCTTCCGAGGTTGGAGATGGACTTGTTGAATGCAACCATCGCATCATCTAGATCCAGATACACTCCAACAACTACAACACAAACAATAATCTGTGGGTGTGGCAAGAAAAAAACTAAGCGCTAAGTATTAAAAAGTATCGAAATAGTTTTCATTGAAAAGGGGTAACTTGATGCTCACTATATCTAGTGATGGTTTCTCAAAAACTATTTTTTTTGCACCAGCTGGGAAAATTCACTCCTGTTAACGATTTTCATCACATGTTAACAAGCATAAATTAGGCATCAGATTTGCAAGTGACACAAAATCTAAAAACCACGGTCACCTTCGAAGACTTTTTGTCTTTTTGAAACCATCAAACATTATTTCAGCACACAATAGAAATTCTTAAAATTAAATATATGTTGGCTTTATATGAGGGGGTTCCTGTGTTTTGTTTTTCTACTTTATCCGAAAAATCTTTTTCAAGCCATAAATTTTCGCATTCATGAAGAGTTGCTCTTCAAAATTTGAGCTGCTCATCGATTTTAAGTACTTTTTAAGCCGGCCTAATTAATAGTCAATGAACCTTGTTCAGACTCTTGGATAGATCGCGATGATTTTTTTGTTTTTTTTTTTCAGAAAAATCAAAAAGTTTGTTCAGGCTCAAATTTAATTCTTTTTCTGCTGTTTGAATTTTGATTCCTTTTTTAGTTCACTTCGTTTCCTTTGTTAAATGAAATGCAAAGTCCACTATCGAATAGCAAAAGTGTAAGGGTTACAAAAAACTTTATTGGCTTCTAGCTTATCAATAATTGTATATTGTTCTAGAAATTTAAAGAGTTGCAATAGCATCTGCTTTTTCTTTGAAATTCAAAAGTTGAGATTTTTTCAAAAAAGAAATCACTATTTTTTTCTCTGTTTACTTGCGTTCATTCACTTTTTTCCCACAGTCTGTTGGTTATGTTTAGTCCGGAAATGAAACAGAAATATAATTTTTCTCAGCACAAAAAAAATTTAAATATTTTTCAGCTCAAATTTTCTTTAAAAAGACTCTTCAAAACGTAATATCAAAAATTTTAAAAAAAGGTTTGTATATCCAGAGTTTAGGTAAAAAGTTCTTCAAAAGTTTCAACCTCAGTTTCAATGATCGAAAAAGATGCTTGGCTAAGCAATTAGCACCGAATCTTTTCACCGCCGTCATGGCATTGATCTTTTGATTGAAAATGGATTATGCAAAAGGAATGTGGAAAAAGAGTGTGGAATTACTTCGATAGTACACAGAAACTTAGAAAACCTCTATGACATCAAAATGCAAAAGGAATATGGAATTATTTCCATAGCCAACAGAAACTTAGAAAAACTCAATGAATTCAAGAAATCAAAAAAAAATTAACTTTTCAAACTTTTCAAATTATATGAAACACGAAAAAGATCTTCGCATTTCAAAGGGTCTTTTATAATTGATAAAAAAAGATAAAACACAGTTAGTTTTTAATCCACAGGTAGATTTAAAAAATAAATTTCATTTTCGAACTGAAAAGTAAATCACGTTTTTCACAACAATCGCATTTTAGTTTGCTTTGTTGTTAGCCAATGGTTTGAGTTGAAATTAAAGCAATCAGTAGTCAAACAGGAAAAATAAAGTTTGAGGGTGAATAAGCCCTTCCAGAAAAAAATGGAAAATGATGAAACAAAAAAAAAGCATTTTAAAATAAGTATTGTAATTTTGTCCATTTACGCTTAAAACATGTTTACTTCTTTTATTGTTGGCGCGTCACTGAGCTGCGTTCCCTGATAGCCGAAAAATAGTTTCGATCCTGGATAGCCGAAAAAAGTTTGGTTCCCAGAGAGGCAATTTTTTTGTTTCCTGGTAGCCGAAAACTTTCGATTCGAGCAAAACTAAAAATCAATCGTTAAAAATTAAATTAAGAGGGGTGTTTTAAAACCACAATAGAAAATTAGATAATTTTGTTTCTTTCATCCCAAAAAACTATGAAAATCTGATTTTCAAAAACTTTTTTTTTGCAAGAGAGGCAAACAAATTGCTGTATTGTACACTTTTTTGGCGTCTTCTCCTCGCGTCTCTTTCAGGGCACTTATTTTTTATTGTTTTTATTTGGTTTTTGACTGGATAGCCGAAAAATTTTTAACAAATGGATGGCTGAAAAAAGTTCTGATCGTCTAGATTAGATTAAGACCATTTATCCACAGGGGAAAGGACTAACACAAGAGCTGTACAGCTCATCACGGCGAACCGCTGTTGTGCCCCTGTAAAATTGTTCGCGGATAATCAAAAAATTTTGTTCCCGGATATTCGAAAAAATAATGCGTTATCAAAGTAGCCGCGATTTTATTTCTGTCTGCTTTCATGAAAGCAAAGCTATTAAACCAAAAAAATGCATTTTTTGGTAGTCAATTTGTAAAAAAATAAGATATTTTAATAGTTCGATAAATTTAGTCGTAACTTTTCGTTTAGTCTCGTTTTTTTAATTATAGTTTTTGTCTCTTATTAGTTAACAAGAAATTTGTAGTTTTTTCGACAATCCAGGAATCCGGCTGTGACACACACCCTTTCATTAACACGCTTTTTTGTCGACAATTTAAAAGTTTAATTTTGACAGTTTAACATCATTAGGCATATTTTTGCGTTTGATATTTGAGTGTTGAAAACAAAAGTTCACATCTTGCCTTAGAAAAGGAAAGAATGCAAGACGAGTTTAAACTTAAAATCTAGCTTCAGTTTTAGCTGAGCCGACAACATTTGGTTTGAATACTGGTGGCTTTGGAATAAATAAAAACTTAACAAAAAACTTGACAAACTTCATTTGCACCAAAAAAATAAAGCAAGGTATCATGCTTGCATAGTTCTAAGTACTTCAGCAGTTTTATAAACCCCTGGTGAATTTTAATGTTTCAATTTTTACGGATATGTTCCGATTTTCTAGCTGTCAAGTTGGGCTTTTGCGGCTGTAAACTTGTAGCTAATACATTAAATTTGGTCGCGCCAGTCAATAATTTACTGAATTGGGTCGAGACAGTTCGGACATAAGTTAGGCTAATTTTAGTCAAATCAGTGGAAACAAGTTTTCGGGAAACATAAGGAAAGCTGGGATTTTTTTGCAGAAACAAATCGTTTTTTTGTTTCAATAAAAAAACACTGAAAAGATATAATTTGCAAAAAAAATACAAGCCACTTTGATTAAGCTTCTGAGAAAACGCGCCGAAAACGCGCCGAAAACGCCATTTTCTTTGGGAATTTTTTGGAAAATTTTGACCAACTATTTGCGTTTTTGGTGAATTCGATCAGAAAAGGATACCAGAAGGTGATAGTTTTCAGGACCCGCTGGGTAATGAAAAAGCCAAATTCTTCGGCCGGGGCGATTTCTCTATACCAGCCACAAGACTGTACCTCAACTGATCAACTTTACCTGAAGATATAGCCTTCTTTTCTTTGTTTTGATATCCCGCAGACTTCGACTTAGCAAAGACCAGCTGAGCCGCTGCCAGAACGTTCAGGTGATCAGTCTCCTGAACAGCTGAAACAAATTCAAATATTAAGCCGCACTTTTGGATAGTGACATACACGTTTCTATGGTGCTCCAAAATGCGAAAAAAAAGAAATTCAAAAAATCAAACAGAAGATAAATTGTGTCATAAATTGCATGAATTTCTATTGAAATACCTTTTCTAGAACAGCATGTAAAACAAGCAAGTGAAAATTTGTGCAAAATTAGAACTTTCATTAAGAAGTTTTTCAGAGTTTTTCAGAGTTTTTTAGTCAACCAATTTGGTTCTCGTGGCTCACCTAATCAAGTAAAAGGCGCTAAATCTCGTTCCAAATATTTAAAAATCAAGTTTCTGTGAGTAGATGGGTAGGGGGGGGGGGGGGAGGGAAGGAGCGTACGCTATTCTGACCCAAAATGCACTACATGATAAAGTCTTAAATTGAATTTTCTGAACTTACGCTCTGGACCGTCGTAGTTTGTGGTTGTGCTAGTGGGTACCCAATACACTAGAATATCTTCATTTTCAGTCAGACTGTAGGCAGATGACGGGATCTTGAAGTACTCCGCTTGGAATGGTGACCCTGCAAACCTGGTCTTCATGGTGCCCTCCAGCTTTTCGTCTCTAAGTTAAGCAAAAAGAACCTTAAAAGGTTTAAACTGACATTAAAACTCTTTAAATAATTCCCTTGTTATCTTTTTTCAAAAAGCTATATTAGTTTCAATCTGGGACTACCTTGACGACTATACGTGAATTTTTAATTATTAACGCGCGACATGTTTTGTAATCCCGGGTTGACCTCCATTGACCAAAGCTAATCATACAATTCCATAAACTAAGTCGATAAAAAAATACTGGTCGAACAAGTTTCATAAAATTTGCTAAAGTGAGGCCATCGAATTTTCAAATTACTTTTTTCTTGTATTGGCATAAAAATCATTGTTTTATACTAGACAGAAAAGAAAAGTTTGGTGTCGGAAAAATTCTAGTCATATAAATTCCATACATGAAAACTGTATGACTAGCATTTTTTGATAGCGACAACACAAAATTTTGGCGACAACAAAAAATAATTTTGAACTTGTCTCAAATTTTTTTTTTATCAACCGCAAATCGAATTTTGTACTCAAACAAACATTTTTCAAAAAAATTGCATGAAAAATTTAAATTTTTATGTGCTTAATGTAATTTTTTTTCCGTTTCTGTAGATAACTTTTCTTCAAAAACGCTAAGAGCTCATATTTCTTTTGTATGGCCTGTTTATGTATGCCTTGATTAATTTTTGATAATCTAAACATTCAAAACTTGAAAATAATCATCTTTGAAAATGTTTGCCAAACTTTTAAAGTTTGATGCTTTCAGTAGATCATTTGTGTCAGAGTAGTTTTATACAATTAAGATCATTTCTAATGCATTGTAAATTCGAGACGATCAAAGCTTTGGTGATTCTCGTGTTGAGCAAACCTTGGTTGTGTCACTTGTATTCGGTCACGAACACGTTCCAAAAAGTTTGAGAAAATAATTTTTTTGAATCAAATTTTTTGGTTTATGGGAAAATGGTAGTAGTCATACAATTTCCATATATGAAAAATCATTAATCAAAGACTTTTCGTGCAATTGGATCTATTTAAAATCTCATCCTAATTTATCTACAAAAGAATCTTCACTCATGTAGAAAAAATAGTAACTTCGCACTAGAGCGTTTAATGTAAATTCGAACTTTGCTGCATTCTGATTGGTTGAAAATTCGCTGCAAGTAATGTACTAAAAAATCCCTTCCCTTTCTTGAAAAGGGGGGAGAGTGCTAAGTAGATCCATGCAACTTTCTGTACTAATGGAATTGCATGAAAAGTGTATGATTAGCTTTTCTCCATATATGAAAATTGTATGATTAGCATTTTTGGTCATCCCGGAATGAAAAAGTGTAAGCGGTAAAAAACGTTTATTCCAAACTGAATGCTACAAGCATTGGCTTTCTAAAAAACGATGCCAGAGTTACATCATTTCACTTCATACTTAACATGGAGGATAAAACTGAGAAATCGAAATGTTTCTCTGACAGAATCTAAGTTCTTCTCATTTTTTTGAACATTTTTGAAATAAATTTTCCAATCAAAAAGCTTTTGATCGACGTTAGAGGGCGGTCGAAAAATTTAGTTCTTTGCCCTGAATTGAATAGTTGGCGCCTTTCAATCCAAGATGGTGCAATTGACATTTTCACATCTCCGTAGCTTCGCAAAACTGGCCCTAACAATGACAGATAAAAATCATAAAAAACATCTGCGTGAAAATTCTAGACGCAAAAAACGTCGCTGATTCGCAAAAAAAGAACTTTGCTCAACAAAATAATTCACTCTAGAATATGAGGAAATAGGAGAAACGGATTATGAAATGACAGGCTGGATAGCCTTTCATAGATCATCTGCGAATCGCATAAACCATCTGTAATATTAATTATGATTATTATGATTATTTTCGAGTTCAGATTGATAATATTCTGCCTAATATTGTTCTATATAATGCAAATTGATATACTTTGCATCAGGTAAGTTTTCAATTTGATCTAAAGATTTGCCATAATTCAGTTAGGATTGTTTGTAAACCAAATTAATCGACCAATAATGAGTTATTAGAGCAAATATAACAGAGCGAAAACAAACAATCGGAGTGCGGTCTGTATTTAGACAACATCGTATTCATACTCGTCAGTAAACAGACAATTACCATATTAACCAATCAGAACCGAGATTAGAAAGCAAATTTACGAAATAAATAATTATTTATTATTCATTTCTTCCTTGTCTCGATTCTGATTGGTTATTACAGTATTTGTCTAAATACTGACAAGTCTAAATACGCGGTTGTCTAAATACTGCTACGTAACCAAACAATAATTCTGCATAAAATGAGCACATAAATTGAACACACAACCATTCTTTGTTGGTTGGAATAAACGACAGTGTGAATCATCGTGTATGTTTGTTTATTTTGTCCGCAACATTCCCGAACATAACAACATTTTTTGTAAAGTGTTTGAGCAGTAAAGAAAAAATTTTGATTAGGACCAACTCAAGAACTAATTGTACTGTGGAAGGATTGGACACAAAGGTTCCAAACAATCGTATCAGCTAAGAAAAGATTGATATTGGCGACCCGTTGGGAAAAAAAACAGATACCCGGAAATTGTGATTCCAGGAAACTGGGAGCCGAGGATCAGCCGGCGAAGAACGACAGAAGGTAGATAACAATGCCTCTGTCAAGGAACGAAAAGAAAAAGAGGTCTATCGGTAGAAATAGTTAGTCGAATATAGTACCAGGCAAGAAGCCGAAAAAAGGTTAAAAGCGATTTTTTCTTGTATTTGGGCTGAAAAGGTCACAATGTTTGTACTAGAAAAACCCAAGCAAAAAACACTAGATTCTGATTTTCCTAAATTATGAAAACTATTAACAGTCTAACAGTTAAGTAGAACACAGAAAATAAAGAAGCATATGGAACAGAGCAATAGGGTACCAGTAGACTTGATTTGGCGTTGTAATTTTTGATCAGAAGAATAAGCGATATCTCCACGTGGAAAGGTTAATACGTGGAGTTATTTCTATGTGCAAAAATTTTGCACTATGGATGCTCCAAATTTTGCGAGGGAGCGATATAACTGATGCAAAAACCAGTAAGCGTTGGTCTTTTTAAAAATTAAAAAAACTTTTCTTCAAAATTGTCGACATACCACGGGAAAGGGCAACAGTTTTGTGAAACGGGAAATGGTCAGTGACGTCGAAAGACAAAGGCTCGAAATTCGGGCAACTTTTCAAGAAAAAGCCACAGAGTTATCTGCCCGGCCGGTAAAAAAAATTTGAAACAGCTGCAATGGACGAGGACATTCTGCAAAAAATTGCAAGAGGACAGAAGTCAATCGAGTAGAGAATTCACTCAAATTGTTTCGGTATGCAACAACAGTCATCAGAAGATTTCAGTACTAGAGAGACACTGCAGATGTTTGGAGTATTTAAGACCCGTCTTCTACAGAATCGAGCAGGCCAGGAGAACAAAAGTTTCTTGACAGTTTTTCATTAAACTGGGAAAACTCATTAGCTTATAAAACTTGAATTTTATTGCGAAAGCGTTGTTGATTATCAATAACATCTTCAGGAGCATAAGAAACCGATAGGTTCTTACCTATACGAAAAAAAAATCGGATGAGGTCAAGGTTGTGTTCTATAGCGCTACAGATGATGTTAGCGTGTTCAAACAATTCAGTCACAGACAATTCAGCCAATTTCAAATTCAGACAATTCAGTCAAAATGAGTGAGACAATTCGGCCAAAGACAATTCAGACAGTTTTAAAGTTTTAAAACGTGCGCGCAAAAACTTTTCACATGCGGCAAAACATCGAAGCTTTCAAGGGACGACTTATAATTAATTCCTTTCAAATGCACATAAAACAAATATAATTAACAGAAACAAAAGTACCTAAACATAAAAAAAATTTATGTAACTCATTATGTTTCCAATTTTAGAATAGTACCTAAGCAAAAATCAAACTCAACAAAAATCTGCACAATAATAAGAAGTTAAACAATTTACGCGAAAGTAGAACCGAGATTGGAAGTTTTACAGGCGGTCAAAAAGGATATCAGTTAAAGGATTGACCACCCCTACCACGTACTGGTCACCTGTATCTTGATGGTTATAGCATCTTTGTCTTGATGGTTATAGATACCCTGAAAAAAAAACCAACTTAAGAACGGTCTCATTAAATAGCAATGTACAATCGGAAATTGCAAAACAGTGGGTTATTTGGACGAACAGCAAGAATTCACCTTATAAACCGAGCATGCTCATTAACCGAGCCCCTCAAAAACTCAAGCTAAACAATTTGCTAACGAAGTTCGAGAAAAAACCTCATACACTGGTAACGCTCCCCGACAGATTGCTTCAACGCCCAAATTGACCTGCCTCTTTATGCAGCGCCTGCAATACCGAGTTACCCAACATCTCTTCGGAGTATAAACCGAATCAGGCAGCAAGCCGTAGAAACAATGCACAAACCAAAAAACCTTGAGAGTGTCGACGAAATTCCTGAACCTCTCAAACTCACACACAGCGGTGATACGTTCCTGTATTTTGATTCTGGTAAGTCGGACAGTCGAGTTTTAGTTTTTGCAACATTACCAGCGCTTGATTTGCTTTCTCAGCCGGAAATCTGTCATTGCGATAGAACGTTTTCGGTGGCGCCAGTTGTCTTTTACCAAGTTTATACTATTCATGGTGTAACCGAAAACGCAGTTATACCCTTGGTGTATGCTCTGCTGCCCAACAAGACTCAAGACACATACGAAAAACTTTTTGGCTGCTTAGAGCAAATTGGAAAAAAAGTAGTCATTGATTTTGAAGCTGCTGTTCGCAACGCCATAAGGAAAATGCAGTCTGATATAGAAAATCAATTCTGTTTTTTTTTCCATCTAGGACAGGGAATATGGCGCAATGTACAACAACTTAGATTTACGCGCAAGTACATGGACGATGATGAGTTTCAGCTGAATGTTAAAAGAACGACTTGAAGGCATTCGTTCCCGTTGACGACGTTATTTTCGCTTTTGAGGCTCTCCGAAAAGAGGATGCCTC